GAAGCGGATAATACGGGGCAAAAGGGAGACTGATAATTCCTATGGGAAGAGGATTGCGGGGTGAGGGCGTGAGAAAGCTAATGTTGGATTTAGAGAGTTCTTCTGAAATTCGCTCAAAAGGTCACGCCATATTTACATCTAAATAAGAAATTGTGATAGTGAATGGATGATACGAGGATATAAGATTGGTTAGATGTCAGTTGTTTCAGAAGAATATCTCTTCCATATCGTTCCACAGGCTATTCAACTTGATGCCTGTACTATGGAGTTGACTACTAGGTTTCATGGGAAGACTATCCTGACTAAAATAGTCTATTTTCTCATAAACCCAGAAAGGCATGAGAAAATGGAAATAGGTAGTGGAAACTAAGATAAGTCTTAGTTTTACTAGGTTGACATGGAATCGACAACCGAGTGCTAAACATGAAATCGAGGGAAAATGGACGTCTCCTCTGGATTTGACAAATCCAAAAAATAATTATGGCATGATGGCTAAACTATCAACCTTTACTCTTTATTTTTTCCTGTTCCTCAGCTGGAAAGTTTGTACCTTGATATTTCCAAGTTGAAGTACGATCTACTTACATCGGAACAAAACCTGACACATGCCCATAAAGTGTTGGAAACAAAGGATGAGAAATTGAAAACACTAGAGAAGGAGAAGTATAACCTTGCCGGACAGGCAAACGTAGTGAATCAACAACTTCAAGAAACATGCAACGAGTTGACTCAATTAAAGGTAAGCAAAATCGCGGGAAATTATAATTTTGGAGCTACCATCATGTTGTAATGCCAAATACTCAATAGCCTATGGGTAATTAGGATCCTAAGGAAGTATCTTTCTCAAATTTGGAGTTTATTATATTCTGCCACTCGGTGAGGCTGCAGTTTGTATCTGTTATAAAGATTGTCAGGCCATGCAAACCTAGTCATTTCGCGCAGGAATTTTAAGGTTTTTTGTTGCATCCCATCCCTTGCATGATAAAGTAAAAAGGAAGAAATACTTCGCAAATTGACCTTGGACCATTTTGTTTAAAAGTAGTTCTGAAGACACATATAGATTATATGTATTCACCCTATTCCGTTTAAGGCAGTGGTTCCCAAACTTTTCCTAGTCGCGGCGCCCTTTTTCAATTAAAATCTTTCCATTGC